TGTGAAAATAATAAAAAACTTCCACACCCAGACAACCACCAAACAAACCAGAATTTTGCAAGTGGAGCTTTTAATAACCCAGCTTTGTCACTTTCTGCCCTAAAACCATAAAAAAAACACCTAGACAGCAATACCTCAAGGAGAGTAACTGAACATCTCTCCAATAATTTCATTAATCATGCCTTAAGCTCCCCATCATGGGCCATGTATAAACCCCAAGATCACACCGGAGAAAATCTGAAAGAAAACTGCAGTCTAGAGTCTAGACAATAAGAAGTCAGAAGAGAAGCTGCACTAGATTCATCTAAGCTGCATCAAACAAGTCTGCATGCCCAACGCTGATGTAGATGCGTATAGGATTTGTTTACGGCTTAGAATGAGCATCACTTTCACAAGGGGCGGAGTTTATTGGGAGGGTATGACCACTCAACAAAGCTTACCCATTGGTGTACTTTGCTTATGCATGTGTGGGTTAACTAGCAGTTTGAAAATGTGCTTGCACAAATACATAGAATCCGGCAATAACGATTACATTATAAAATGCGGTCCATAGCTGAAATTCACATTTTGAATATACACTTTAAGTGGACCTGCACTGCTTTATTATTGGTTAATTATCTTAGAAAGTCTTAAATGCGGTGATGGTTGCAAACTCAAAAAAACAGCATTAATAAGTCGATAATTCCTATCATTGCTGGTATTTTATTTACAGAATCAAGAGAAATATCTGATTTTCTCATTTATTTCAGAACTAGTTTTCTCACCAACAAAATTTATTTGAGAAATGGACAGAAAAATGCAACTGGAATCTATACTTTTCATACCTTCCAAGGCCAAAGTGTGGTAATTGAAGTCTCAGCCATTGAGAAAAAAGCAGAGAGACCCAAAAGCGCAGCCAAAACCAAGCCTTGCTCTTTAAAAAGCCGAAGAACCAGCAAAACTTTGGGCCAAGAGCTCCTCAATGCCAGTACACTCTGCTCAAAAACTCCATAACCAGCATCCAAAACCCCTTCCGCTGCAAGAACTCTCCGGCACCCCAACGCCAAAATTCCGCAAATCATCGCCGCCAAAACAAATCCGCGCTTCACCAAAACCTCAACAAACCATAAATTTACTCTATCAGTACAGTCTTCAACTTTATCACTTCCACTACCTCTAACTACGACAGATCTCAAATGACTTGGAGCATCAAAAACCTCACTTTCTCGGAGTCTTGAATTGAAGAAGCCTCTGTGAATGTACGGAACTATACAATTGGTTGAAATTCGAGAGGGAAAACTGAATATTTGGGGGGAAATCCTTGTTGAAATTTGTATTTGACGGTTACAAGCAAAAAACAATGAAGATGATGAACCAGATAGGACTGAAGATCGATTTAACATTGAGGATTCGATCGACATATCCGTTTTGCTTCTAAATAAATCAAATTACAGTATTTTTCTAGGGTTATGGAATGTCGATAAGATTTGAATACAATGAAGTGAAGCTAGTACCTCTTGCGGAGTTTGAAGAGGTGAAATCGAGTAGATGAGCTCATCTTTAAAGAAATAGAAACAAAACCTTAGAGAAAGTTAAGAAAGGCGTATGCTGTAATGTTCTTCTTCATCTCCGTCACCAATTCGTCATTATACATGTTGTCGGATCGGACGAGCTCAGAGCTGCGGATTCTTTTCTTCGCCGAAGAAAGTGGGTGGGGAGCATAGGAAAATGACAGAATCTACCCCCTTTGCTTTTATCAAGTTGGCCCTTACATTTAAAGCTGATTCATATTATAGCCCCAATTCTTTGAAGTTTTGTTTCAATTTGCACAATTTACAACAAAAAAAAAATTAAAATTCTCAATTTGTATTTTTAATGTCATAAACTTAAACAATGTAACTCTAAGTCAAACTGTCCTTAAGATTTATGTCTGAAAATGAAGCACAATGAGGCACGTGAGTTGCACTATATCTGACAGTGGTGTACCGTTTAATTTTTTATTTCGAAAATGAAACACTTGTTACAATATCAATTACGTACCGCTTAATTTTCTATTTGAAAATAAAACACTTTGAGTTGCAGTACTTGATACTAAAATCTGATAAGATTAAACCCATATTTGATACATTATTGTCCATTTTGTACTAAGTTGACGAATCGTGTAACAAATTATCATCCCTGCCCTGTGTGCATAAGCACGCCATAAAACAAGACCGGAAATCAATCAACAAAGAAAAAATCAGTCAAACTCATCTCTATCCACATAATAATACGCTATACCAAACTCTTTATTGACTGTTCATCTTCATAGTAATACAACTTGGCATACATAAGAATTTATAGTAGTGTACATCAACTCTATTGCATTATGAAAATCATAACGCATCTTGCGGGAGAACAGTTTGGATCACAGAAGATGCCCCATCCATTGGGGCAAATTGTACCTGGGACAATAACTACAACTCAATTTTCAGCATCATTGCATAACATCAGCCATTAATGGTGTGGTCCGGCATCCACAGTTCTCTAAGTCTCGAAACTAGAATTTGATCTCACACTATACTCTGCTACGAGCCTGGCAAATGAAGATGACTTGTTTTCCAGCAATTTTGTTGGAGTATCATATTCCTCAATTAATCCTGCACCAGAGGAAAAACGAAAAAAATCAAGATGATTTTACTCCAAAGCCTCAAGGATAACAATATGTACTGAAGGCTGAATGTGATCTAACCATGATCTAATAGTAGGACCATGTCACTGTCGAGCACAGATGTTATCCTATGTGCAATGGTTATGACTGTGGAGTCGGAGAAGTGTTGCCTCAGGGTTTGCTGAATCAGATTATCAGTTGCTGTATCAACTGATGCTGTTGCCTCATCAAGCACCAAAACCTTGCTTTTCTTGAGTAGCACACGGCCAAGACAGACCAGCTGTCTTTGACCCACACTCCAATTCTCTCCATTCTCATTAACTGAAAAAATCATAGGAACAATGAGAAATAAGAATTCCAGAGATTATAGGGGTTAAAGAAATCTCTGGAGTTTATGTGAAAGTGGCAATAAAGAAAACCTGCTGAATCAAGTTTGCATTCCTTCTTCCTGACTTCGTCTCCAAGCTGGCACTTATCAAGAGCCTAAACCAATGAAAAACAGTTAACTACACAGCCTCAACAACATATTTACAGAATTTTTAAATCAATCCCAGACATTTACATTTTCCCATTTTTGTTCCAAAAAAATATAAACATCAAATAAAGCCATGCCCACCTCCCAAATCTGTTCGTCCGTATGCTCTTCCAGCGGATCCAGGTTGCTTCGTATCGTCCCCTCAAACATGGTTGGATCCTGTGGAATTATGCTCAATCTAGATCTTAAATCATGCAGCCCGATCAAAGAGATGTTGATATCATCTATAAAAATGTGTCCACCATCGGGTTCAACAATACGGAAGAGTGTCTGTATAAGTGTTGATTTACCACTGCCCGTCCTTCCTACAATGCCAGTCTTCTTTCCTCCAGAGAAAGTGCATGTGAGGCCTCTTAACACAAGTGGCATGTGTGGGGCATATCGCACCTATATCAATGCTTGGCATTAGCAACATACATACAGACGACGAGTATGGAGAACCCATGAATGACCCTACATATTACTTTGAGAACTCATTTGGCATAGAGAAAGACCAACCAAAAATCAAATTTACCTTGAGATCACGAATGTCAACTTCACCATGTGATGGCCAGTGACCGTCTGCCTCTGGCCTGTTTGATTCTATAACAAGAGGAGGCTCACTAGGGAGAGAAGTGTATTGAAGTATTCTTTCAACTGATATAATTTTATTCTCCATAGAACAAAGATTCCATATGACCCAAGCTTGTAACATGTTAAGATTAAGCCCATATGTTACTGCTAATCCCGCAACACCTTTAAACACACAAGGGGATAAAAGAGCGTGTCATGTATTCTTCACACCATTCACAATTGCAGAAGCAAAGGATAATTGACAAAGATGATAAACAAGAACCACTTACTCGAATCAATTGTTCCCTCCGGAACAGAGATCAAAAAAACCAAGGACGATGTAAATGTAATTAAAGACAACATATCCAAGCGAATGCATAGCCACTCCATTGCACCAGAACTGTGAAATGTTGGGCGAGAATACCCATCTATCAATTTCATATTTGTGTCCCGGAATCTAGATTCCTGATCAAAACTTCTAATTGTAGTTGATCCTGAGATTGTTTCAGCAAAATGTTGTATAACTGGAGCTTTGCATACCCCAATTAACCGTGCCAATTCTCGTGCTGAAGATATGTAATATTGCTGCAATTAAGAAGAACACGAGCAACTACTACAATCATGCATGGACAAAAACATGCCCTCAACTTGGGCGTAGGGTTATATAAAAGAACGAGAATATAGCAAATCCATGTGCCCACAAGGTTTGAGATTACTGATGGTACAACGAAATGATAACCATAATTTGAAATTACTTTATAAGATTCTGAGAAGGGAATATAAGGCTACCTGTAACCAGATGCAAATTGCAATGACAGGAATAAAAATGATGAAGACCTGCCAAGCAACCTGCGACATTACTGCAATAATTCCCAGAAGTTGTATTATTGAGAAGGCAAAAGCGGCAACTTGAAATGAAATGTTCAAATCCACTGCACTTTGGTCCGTAGATGCCTGTGAGAAGAACATAGCTTGGTTTAATAAAATTTTGGATTTGTAGAAGTATGTAAAATCATCGAGCACTCATATTGTAGAAAATATAAAACTGAACAATAATAACAATTGTATAAACAAACAAACAAACAAACAAATGCATATTTCACACTTACTCTGTTCAGAATTCGTCCGCTAGGGGTGGCATCAAAGAAAGACATAGGGGCGCGAAAAAGGCAGAAGTGCATTTTATTGAACAGTATTGTGGCAGTCTTGTACCCAGCCGTTACAAGAAGTAAGGCCCTCGAAAGGATGCAAAAAGAACTTCCGATTGCCAAAGCTACATAGACAACTAGAAGAGTAGAGCCTCCAACAGGAGCTGGTACATTGCTGGAGACCGGAGTTGCCCATGCCATCCAGTAATTGCTTCCAATTTGAAGTAGCTGAAACAAAACTTGTGCCAACAATATAAAGGGCACAAGTGCTCCTCCATACGCAGTTGTGATATATTTCCAGTAGACTGAAAAACCAACTTTACCTTTCTCTCTTTCTTCTTCTTGAACAAGCTGACCTTTTGGCCCCCCAACATCATCTGCTTTGCCATTTTGACCAACTGCAGTTTTCTCATCCTTGAGAACCTTCTTAGCATCCCCAATACCACCAACTTCCTCGCTGATATTTGATTTTCCTGAGCCTGAATGTGTTTCTACAGAATCAAGCACCAATAAAGCTTCCTTATGGGCACCCACAAGTTCCATAAAGTCGCTTCCTGGATTTAGAATGTCTTCATATTTTCCAGCTTGCGAAATTCTCCCATTTTTCATGACCTGATAACAATCATTACATTGGATGAGTTTTGTCCGTAACCACAATGACAATGAAGAAACAAGTAAGTAGCTCACCAGGATAAGATCTGCAGCAGGTAAGAATTCCACTTGATGAGTAACATAAACAACTGTTTTAGTACCCAGAAGCCCCAGTAAACATTCCTGCCATACATACTTCATCAATTTACCTTACTTAAATACAAAAGAAGAATGAAAGAAGAGCAAAGTAAACAAGGCAGGGCATAAGGAGATGGTATCACAGCTATAGACAACTAATTTTGACCTTCTACAAGGATATCAATAATCCAATGATATGCATACAGAAATAATTGTTTTACAAGTACTTGGCCAAATCAGTGTAGTAATAATTAAATAGAAACCATGATTCCTTTTCATGACAATCCATGCGATCTTTGCCAAACAGAGGAAAAAGGGAAATGCAATTCATACTACCCTTGTTGAGTGAAACACTCCAATTCCAGTGGAAACAGTGCAAAATGAAAAGGTAAATGCGAATAATGCTTCTCAGAAAAAAAAATATAGCTCTAGAGGAATTAGGACCAGAGAGTTAGAGAGTAATTACCTTGAAAAGATGGGACCCTGTATGAGCATCCACCGCACTAAATGGATCATCAAAAAGATAGATATCAGCATCTTGGTACAGGGCACGCGCAATCTGTATTCTCTGTTTCTGTCCACCACTCAAATTGATTCCTCTCTCACCTATAACCGTCTGATCACCGAAGGAGAGAATTTCCAGGTCTTTCTTTAAGGAACACGCTTCAAGAACCTTCTCATACCGCTCTCTGTCCATTTCCTTACCAAAAAGTATATTTTCCTCAATCTTCCCACTCTGTATCCAGGGTGACTGAGCAACGTAAGCCTTTGTTCCACTTAGCATAATAGCTCCAGATATTTTGGGCATTTCTCCCAAGATAGAAGAGATTAAGCTCGACTTGCCTGAACCAACGGTACCGCAAACAGCAACCCTCATTCCACGAGACACCCTGAGATTTATATCTTTGAGAGTTGAAGTAGGAGAAGACACATCCCAAGTAAAATTCCCATCAACTATCTCAATGGCTGTGTCAGATGTACCTCTCGGCAGCACCTGTATAACATCCGGCTGCAGGTCATGAAGACGGAGGAATGAAGCAATTCGGTCAAGGGAAACTTTGGTCTGAGCAATCATTGAAATTGTATCAGGAAGATTATAAATAGGCTCTTGAAGTATTCTAAATGTTGCAAGTGCAGACAATATCTTCCCTGATTCCAGTGGGATTCCCATAAGCATACAAGCACCAAACGTGACCACAGACACAAATGTTGGGGCGACCCAAAAAACAAAAGAGGTCATGGCGGTAGTGTACACGTATCTTCTCAACCATCCTGCCTCCGTGTTCCTGAGCTCGACAATTTTTGACAAGAACTTCATCTCCCAACCCTGAAGCTTGAGAATCCTCATGTTCCTCAAAATTTCGGACGTCGACTTCATCCTTCGATCTTTAGATGCCATTAGTTCTTCCTGAAATTTCTCCTGCAACTTTCCCAAAGGAAAGTTTGCCAACATCACTAGCACAGTAGCAACAAATGTAGCAATTGAAGCAAGCCCAAGATTTTTGTATAAGATTGCCAAAGCCAAAGCAACTTGTAAGAGCACCATCCAAGGATCATGCATATACCAACCGAAGTCACCAATTCTCTCCGCATCAACGGTCATGAAATTGATGATCTCCCCACTAGTGTGACTCTGTTTTGATTGACATGAAAGGGTCAAACCCTTATTGTAGATCATGGCAACCAATGCAGCCCTAGCTCTAAATCCAGCCTGTTGGGCCTTAAAAAACCAGTGCCTCTGTGCAAGACACTCAACTACCTTTGCAATGAAGAATGTAGAAACCAAAAGATAACCTTCGTTTTTGACTCCGCGACGACCATTAAGGTATTGAACGAAAGTATCAATGAGGTAGGGGCCGACATAAGTAGCCAATGTGTAAGCAAGCACAAGAAAAGCTGATAATAGAATTTCCTTCCATACCGTGAAAATCAAAGCCTTCACCAGCACAAATGTTGTCACTTTACTACTACTCTCGCAATCCGATTCTACCTCATTTCTCAAAATTGGAAAAGCCGACCTGACACTATCAATACTGGCAAGCTGAGGAACATCCTCGAGGTCCAAAGTTTTTTTGGAGCCGGCAGCAATCAAATTACCCATCCAAGAGAAAGTAAGGACACTAAAGAAACTAGCACTGGAATAAGGGGTCACAGTTTCACCCCCACCAGACTTATTGGACTCTATACCATTACTAGCACTACCATTCAAAAGGGGTTCTTGAAGAAGGGCATTTTCACCTTCTTTCTTACCTAAAAACCCCACAAAACAGAAGAACAACCCAGAAATACTACAAACTATGTCAGACACCCAAAATTGCACTGGTAAAGTTCGGTGCTTTTTGTAATAAACAGAGTCCACAACAAGGGAATAACAAGAGATGGAGAAGAAAAACCCCCACCAAACTCTTAAAGCAACTGGGAGCTTTGATGCACCTGAATTAAAGAACTGGGTGTGCAAGAAAACAGAGAGAATTAACCAAGCAAGTGTTTTGATTACCAAATCTAAAAGGGTCACAACCTTTTCCTCAGACCAACCATTTCTATACCAATAGAAGTGGCTCAATAAGCATAGAACAAGATTAAACAGTGACAGACCCAGACAAAAAAACATAGTTCGTTTGTGATACGAGAACCTAGTGATTCTAAGACACTGTTTTTGGCCCTCATTCTTATTAGTCCTAATTTTCTTGCAAACCCATGAAATAAATAGGATAAGCAACAAAACTAGGTGCACAGAACCAGAAAACCCGCGGAAGAAAATGGGATTGAGGAGGAAATCAACTCCTACGACGTACCTCATTGAATATAAGTGGGAGAGGAACACAGACATACCCTTATTTGATTCTTCTTGAAGAACCAGCGTTGTTTGTGGAGCTTTTTGGTCTCTGTGAGTGAATGGGTGTGGGTATGTCAGGTTTCTGTTGTATTGGGTTTTAAAATATGAGAGTGATATTGTGTGGTGACGCGGTGTGAGGCTTGTATATATGCATACAAGATGTGTTGTTATATGATTAGGAGAGAGGGAAGAGTAGTCTGTAGTCCAAGCAGGAGAGAGAGTCAAGGTGGGCTTCCTTGTGCGTAGGACAACGTGGTGAGCAAGACTCAGTTGACGGAGAGATCAACGACCGGGGAAGACAAGTGGACAAAAAGGTTGGCATTTTCCCAGTTTCGTGAGAGAAGAGAACTCTTTTTGGGAAGAGAGAGAGAGAGAGAGAGAGTGCTGAGGAAGTAGTCGAGTGATAATAAAATTCCGTGGAGGTGTAATCCTACACGTATATATTACAACTGAGTAATCTTATATTAATACTTTGTGATTATCAAAGCATCACAGACATCATATGAATATGGATGGTCTACGTTACCGATGATTGACAGTGAGATTCGCTTTGTATTGGATTTTTTGGGGTGCTTTTTAAAAAATATTTTATTTATATTTAATTCATGATAAATTGTGTTATATCGAAATTATGTCGTGTTTGATCAATATTTAAACGAATTATATCATATATTTTTTTTGATTGATTTTATTCATAATCGATTTGTTTATTAATCGTGTCAAGTCGAGTTCACTTATTTACGAAACGGGTGATTTAAGAAAGATTCAAACCTTCTAATTTTGTATCATGTTAATGAGTTGTATTATATTTTAACACCTCTAAATACTGACATTCTAAGGTTAATTTTAATTTTTTTTCATGTGACTTAACTATTAACGATAATATATTGCGATAAGATATCAAAAAATAAATTAGTACCATAAGACTATGCGATCAGAGCTTTACATATTGACGACGGGATGGTACTTTTTAAAATTTTCTTCTTCTTCTTTTTTAATGGTCAAAGATATTCGGATAAATTTATACGTACATTAATTAATTTATGAAAAACTCTATGTATTTTTTATTTGGGATCTAAATTTAATAGACAGTCAGAGATCCTAGAATGAGTGAATTTGCTTAAAAATTTAAATCTCTAGCATTACTCATATTTATTGAGATCAAATATTATTATATATCAAGATTTTATCTTAATTTTTTTAGTTTTGAGTGCCTGATGCACGGTATAACGTAAATCAATTAATTAATTTAAAATAAAATTATTTTAATTTACTTTAGTTAAATAAATTGAAATCAATATGGTCCAAATTAACCAGATGATGCCAGTGAAGTAAGTGAGAAGTGATGAATTTGCGGAAAGAAAATTTAATGTAAATACTTTTGAGAGAGATGCTGGTGACCGTTCGATAAATCTATTTGAGACCATCGAATAAATTTATTAAAATCTGTCATAATTTATGTTATAGATTTAACCAAACACATTTATGATAAAGTTTCATTATGCATGTTATTTAGTGATAATATATTCTTAACCAATGATACACAAGTAGGAATTTTAAGAATAAATTACAAATTTGAAGAAAATGTTTAAAATCAAGAAGTTTAAGATAATTTAATAATATGATCACCAATAATGAACATGTTTAGAGTTAGCTTAAAATCTAAGTTTATTTGTTGGTTTCAAAAGAAAAAAAGTTTGACCTCGAGATTATTGGACGATTTTTCTATTAATTTTTTGGGCAAAAACAATTTTTATCAGAAGTGAAATATGTGGTTTATCCAAGGATTTTCAAGAAAAAATTGAATTTTTCATAAACACTCCAAACAATTTAAAATGTTTTTTTAGCTATGATTTTTTCATTTCACTTCTCAAACTTTTATTTTACACTCAAAAAAGTCAGATTCAAACGAATTTAATATCTAATAAATGTTAGATTTTTTCAATGAACCATGTCATATGATACATTTTTTATGGAAATAAATTAGATTATAATTTTTAAATTTAAAAAATATTAGTCTTATATAAAACGCTGAACATTGCATCATAAAAAACAAAAAATAATGTGATTGGAAATGGATGAAAATCAATTCCTTGTTTGTTTCCATTATTTGTCCACTGTTCTTATGGAACGATCAATAAATTAGGGGTGAGATTCGAACGGGACAGGACTGTACCATTTCCTCTTATGTGGTCCCTAAGGCGTAATGCATTTTGCACTATACCGTGAATGATGATGTCATGGTTTACGCAAACAAGAGACCAAGAGCGGTGAATCTGATGTCCACAGACAGAAAGTCCGGGAAGACGCCGACGTAGTTTAAGAGATGGAATGGTAAATTTAGATATTTTAAGGTTGAATTTTAATAATTGTTTGGAGTCGAATTTATATCTCATAAATATCTAACGTGGATAACTTAAGAAGAAATTAATTAAGGTGTACATAAATTAATTCAAACACCGACTATTAAACTATATAAAAAAAAAAAAAAGTCTATTGAGGTCACGGACCAGTGGTGTGGCCACAAGGATATTTTCAACTTGCAGGGTATCCCAATAGTGGGGTAAGGATTGGATTAAATCGTAAATTTAAATAATTTAAATATTTAGTGGGGTAAGAATTGGATTAAATCGTAAATTTAAATATTTTTAATACGATTTTTTTGTGTAACTTTAGAATTTTATAAATTCTTATTGTTAATGGACGATTGAAGATAACTAAGATGTTTTTTTGCAAGAGTTGATCCAACGAGACCTTACTTAGATAGATTACTCGGTGGGAAGAAAAATATTTTTACCTTCAAAAATGTCGATCTAAATCTATTTTGGTCATTTAAATTTTCTTAATAAATAATATATATATATATATGTGAGAGATTAATCCATGTACATGAAGTAAATTTATAAATAATTTAGTGAATTTGAAAGAGAGTATATAAGAGGGTCCCAATGACACTGAGGAAGCAAAGTTGGTTTGTTTGTGTGGTGTGGTGAGCAAGTAAATTGAGGTTGGAGTTGGGACAAAGAAATAATAAAATATTGAATGAGACAATGCGATGGAAAAAAGTCTCTAAATAATAGATTGACTTTGACGAAAAACCACATCAATATCTTATTCCAAATGCTCGAGAGTAAGTAGTCCTAAAGTCTGTTGGTAAGTAGGGTCAATTTGTTGAGAGTTCCAAACCTCTATAATTTATTTCTATAATATAAAATAGGGGTTTCGATAAGGCTATCATATGTTCTCAAATTCATTTACTAAACGGTCAAAAGATTATCTTTTTTTTTTCCTTAATTTTCTCCCATAATCGGTCAATGATTATGGTTGATCTTATAACACATCCTACGATATTAAATTCATTCATCCAACGATCAAGAAATTATTATTTTTTTTCTTAATATTTTTTTTCATCCGATTAACGATTACGGCTGATCTTAAAATATATAATTTTCTTTGACATAATAATTAAATGAGTCAAATTTGTCATTAATATAATCTGTGTAGTGTAACATTTTGAATTTTTATAAGTCACAATGATAATATTTTGATTAAAAAAAATTCATCAATTTAACAGATAAAAAAAACAAGGTCATTTCTTAACACATTTATATTGGATATAATTAATTTTAATTTTATTTATTTAATTAATTATCTCAGACTAACATGTCTTACACATATCTTGAATCAAAAATTCAAGACTAATTTTTTTATCTCTTAAAAAAACCTAACACTAATATATTCTTATAAATTAATAAGTTTGCAATACTTGTACTAATTAAAAAAATAATATTTTATAACTGATATTTGTAGATTTTTTTTTGATAGAAAATAATTTGGCGATATGCTTTTTGATAAATTAGTTTTTTAGTTTATATTAAATTTAATTTGATTTTGATTACATATACATAAATTAATATTTTTTTTAAATCAATTTTATCATGTTTCGTGGATTTATCTATAATATAAAACAGAAAAGGTTTCAATAAGTTCATCCGACGGCCTCAAGTAAACTCATCAAATGGACCCAAAAGTTCTCTCTCTCCGGCAGTGGCGGAGGTAGGAGGGGTTTGGAGCCACCATAATTTTTTTTTTTTGTTATATATGTTTTATATATTTTTTTAAATATTCTTAATTGAGTCCACTGTAATGATTTATGAAAAATAAAATTAATTAGGTTAAACAAGTTGGGTAGTAGAATAAAAATAAATAAATTATGCCAAATCTCTTAAAATTAACAAACTAAAATTGATTCCTTAGAGTATTGATATGATTTATTGGAGCCTCTTTTGGTTCAAACATTATGGAATATATGACCAAAAATGAGTAAAATATAAGATTTGTAAGAAGATTAAAAATTATAAAATATTATTTTTATTTGTGTCAAATTTATAATATAAAATAGGATAAACTTCAATAAATTCATTTGACGGTCTCAAATAAACTCATCTAACAATCACCAACATCCATCTTAAAACCATTCAGATTGAATTTCTCCTCTCCCAAATTCATCACTTCTCACTTATGTTGTATCGTATTTTCAGGCACAGATTATCTCTAATAAATAAATAAAACATAGAAAAAGTATCCTCTATAGTTAGTTCCAATTGAACAGGTTGAGAAGAATATGTAGTTCAGTCATATAATACTATTAACATGTTTGCTACGGAAAAAAAATTGATAGATGAAAATCCAGTAAAAACAGTATATGCGGGAATCTCCGTGTCTAAAAAAAAGTAGTCAAATAACATTAGAGAACCAACGTTGGTGTTTTGTGTGGTGTGCAAGTAAATTGAGATTGGGGTTGGGGTTAGGACAAAGAAATAATGAAATATTAAAAGAGATAGAATTACTTATAGACCACCTTGGAATCTAGTGGCATGCATGCATGCTATCGCTCCCCCCCCCCCCCCCCCCCCCAATCATATGCCCCATTACGTTTTCATTATTTGGAAAAGGAGTGAAAGTCTCCTGTCATTTTATCTCCTTATAATTTCTCATGCATTTTCCTACGCATGTGTTTGACAAAATGCACCAAAAACAAAAAACATCTCATATGCTTATACCAAATGAGAATATAATAATATGAGACTGATCAAAAGATGTTCATCACTCATCTTGAGGTCACGACCCATTTGCAAGACCTGGATGTGATGACGAATATGCCATCAGGAAAACAAAGATTAAATACCTCAATTTGTATTTTTAATATCATAAAATTATAACAACTCTCACTCAAACTATCATTAAGATTTTTGTTTGAAAATGAAACACATGAGTTGCACTATGTTCGGTAGTGGCGTGCCGTTTAGTCTCTCTATGTGTGCTTGCACGTTATAAAACAAGATCGAAAATCAATCAACAAAAAAAAGAAAAACCATCATATATACATATCTTCTCTGGTCTCTACCTCAAACATGTTCAAATAAACGCGTAAAACCAGTCAAACTCATCCCTACACACATAATAATACTCAATACCAACTCTTTATTGATTATTCATCTGACGTAGTAATACAACTTAACATGCATTAGAATTTATAGCAATATACATGAACCCCATTGCATTATAAAAATCATAACGCATCTTGCGTAGAACATATGCCTACGTATAACTTGGCTTTCCATATATCACGTACACTCAAATAGGAGAACAGTTTGGATCATAGAAGATGCCCCCATCCATTAGGGCAAATTATACCTAGCACAATAACTACAACTCGATTTTCATCATCGTCGCATAACATCAGCCATTAATGGTGTGGTCCGGCATTCAAAGTTCTCTAAGTCTCGAAACTAGAATTTGATCTCATGCTATACTCTGCTGCGAGCCTAGCAAACGAAGATGACTTGTTTTCCAGCAACTTGGTTGGAGTATCATATTCCTCGATTAATCCTGCACCAGAGGAATAAAGAAAAAGTCAAGATTATTTTACTCCAAAGCCTCAAGGATAATAATATGTACTGAAGGCTGAATGTGATCTAACCATGATCTAATAGTAGGACCATGTCACTGTCGAGCACAGATGTTATTCTATGTGCAATTGTTATGACTGTGGAGTCGGAGAAGTGTTGCCTCAAGGTTTGCTGAATCAGATTATCAGTTGCTGCATCAACTGATGCTGTAGCCTCGTCAAGCACCAAAACCTTGCTTTTCTTGAGTAACACACGGCCAAGACAGACCAGCTGTCTTTGACCCACACTCCAATTATCTCCATTCTCATTAACTGAAAATTATAGGAATAATGAGAAATAAGAATTCCAGTGATTGTAGGAGTTAAAGAAATCTCTGGAGTTCATGTGAAAGTGGAAATAAAGTAAACCTGCTGAATCAAGTTTGCCTTCCTTCTTCCTAACCTCGTCTCCAAGCTGACACTTATCGAGAGCCTAAACAAATGAAAAACAGTTGACTACGCAGCCTTAATGACGTATTTACAGAATTATGAAATCAATCCCGGACATTTGCATTTTTCCCATTTTTATTCCAAACAAATATAAGCATCAAATAAAGCCATGCCCACCTCCCAAATCTGTTCGTCCGTATGCTCTTCCAGCGGATCCAGGTTTCCTCTTATCGTCCCCTCAAACATGGTTGGATCCTGTGGAATTATACTCAATCTAGATCTTAAATCATGCAGCCCGATCAAAGAGATGTTGATATCATCTATAAAAATGTGTCCACCATCGGGTTCAACAATACGGAAGAGTGTCTGTATAAGTGTTGATTTACCACTGCCCGTCCTTCCTACAATGCCAGTCTTCTTTCCTCCAGAGAAAGTGCATGTGAGGCCTCTTAACACAAGTGGCATGTGTGGGGCATATCGCACCTATATCAATGCTTGGCATTAGCAACATGCATACAGACGTCGAGTATGGAGAACCCATGAATGACCCTACATATTACTTTGAGAACTCATTTGGCATAGAGAAAGACCAACCAAAAATCAAATTTACCTTGAGATCACGAATGTCAACTTCACCTTGTGATGGCCAGTGACCGTCTGCCTCTGGCCCGTTTGATTCTATAACAAGAGGAGGCTCACTAGGGAGAGAAGTGTATTGAAGTATTCTTTCAACTGATATAATTTTATTCTCCATAGAACAAAGATTCCATATGACCCAAGCTTGTAACATGTTAAGATTAAGCCCATATGTTACTGCTAATCCCGCAACACCTTTAAACACACAAGGGGATAAAAGAGCGTGTCATGTATTCTTCACACCATTCACAATTGCAGAAGCAAAGGATAATTGACAAAGATGATAAACAAGAACCACTTACTCGAATCAATTGTTCCCTCCGGAACAGAGATCAAAAAAACCAAGGAAGAGGTAAATGTAATTAAAGACAACATATCCAAGCGAATGCATAGCCACTCCATTGCACCAGAACTGTGAAATGTTGGGCGAGAATACCCATCTATCAATTTCATATTTGTGTCCCGGAATCTAGATTCCTGATCAAAACTTCTAATTGTAGTTGATCCTGAGATTGTTTCAGCAAAATGTTGTATAACTGGAGCTTTGCATACTCCAATTAACCGTGCCAATTCTCGTGCTGAAGATATGTAATATTGCTGCAATTAAGAAGAACACGAGCAACTACTACAATCATGCATGGACAAAAACATGCCCTCAACTTGGGCGTAGGGTTATATAAAAGAACGAGAATATAGCAAATCCATGTGCCCACAAGGTTTGAGATTACTGATGGTACAACGAAATGATAACCATAATTTGAAATTACTTTATAAGATTCTGAGAAGGGAATATAAGGCTACCTGTAACCAGATGCAAATTGCAATGACAGGAATAAAAATGATGAAGACCTGCCAAGCAACCTGCGACATTACTGCAATAATTCCCAGAAGTTGTATGATTGAGAAGGCAAAAGCAGAAACTTGAGATGGAATGATCAAATCCAGTGCACTTTGGTCCGTAGATGCCTGTGAGAGGAACATAGCATGGTTTAATAAAATTCTGGAGTTGTAGAAGTATGTCGAGCACTCCTATTGTAGAAAATATAAAACTGAACAACAATAACAATTGTATAAACAAACAAACAAATGTATATTTCACACTTACTCTGTTCAGAATTCGTCCGCTAGGGGTGGCATCAAAGAAAGACATAGGGGCACGAAAAAGGCAGAAATGCATTTTATTGAACAGTATTGTGGCAATCTTGTACCCGGCCGTTACAAGAAGTAAGGCCCTCGAAAGGATGCAAAAAGAACTTCCGATTGCCAAAGCTACATAGACAACTAGAAGAGTAGAGCCTCCAACAGGAGCCGGTACATTGCTGGAGACCGGAGTTGCCCATGCCATCCAGTAATTGCTTCCAATTTGAAGTAGCTGAAACAAAACTTGTGCCAACAATATAAAGGGCACAAGTGCTCCTCCATACGCAGTTGTGATATATTTCCAGTAGACTGAAAAACCAACTTTACCTTTCTCTCTTTCTTCTTCTTGAACAAGCTGACCTTTTGGCCCCCCAACATCATCTGCTTTGCCATTTTGACCAACTGCAGTTTTCTCATCCTTGAGAACCCTCTTAGCCTCCCCAATACCATCAACTTCCTCGCTGATATTTGATTTTCCTGAGCCTGAACGTGTTTCTACAGAATCAAGCACCAATAAAGCTTCCTTATGGGCACCCACAAGTTCCATAAAGTCGCTTCCTGAATTTAGAATGTCTTCATATTTTCCAGCTTGCGAAATTCTCCCATTTTTCATGACCTGATAACAATCATTACATTGGGTGAGTTTTGTCCGTAACCACAATGACAATGAAGAAACAAGTAAGTAGCTCACCAGGATAAGATCTGCAGCAGGTAAGAATTCCACTTGATGAGTAACATAAACTACTGTTTTAGTACCCAGAAGCCCAGTAAACATTCCTGCCATACAACGATTATCACATCATACTTCATCAATTTACCTTACTTAAATACAAAAGAAGAATGGAAGATGAGCAAAGTAAACAAGGCAGGGCATAAGGAGATGATATCACAGCTATATACAACTAATTTTGACCTTCTACAAGGATATCAATAATCCAATGATATGCATACAGCAATAATTGTTTTACAAGTACTTGACCAAATCAGTGTGGTAATAATTAAACAGAAACCATGATTCCTTTTCATGACAATGCAAGTGATCTTTGCCAAACAGAGGAAAAAGGGAAATGCAATTCATACTACCCTTGTTGAGTGAAACACTCCAATTCCTGTGGAAACAGTGCAAAATGAAAAGGTAAATGCGAATAATGCTTCTCAGAAAAAAAAATATAGTTCTAGAGGAAATAGGACCAGAGAGTTAGAGAGTAATTACCTTGAAAAGATGGGACCCTGTATGAGCATCCACCGCACTAAATGGATCATCAAAAAGATAGATATCAGCATCTTGGTACAAGGCACGCGCAATCTGTATTCTCTGTTTCTGTCCACCACTCAAATTGATTCCTCTCTCACCTATAACCGTCTGATCACCGAAGGAGAGAATTTCCAGGTCTTTCTTTAAGGAACACGCTTCAAGAACCTTCTCATACTGCTCTCTGTCCATTTCCTTACCAAAAAGTATATTTTCCTCAATCGTCCCACTCTGTATCCAGGGTGACTGAGCAACGTAAGCCTTTGTTCCACTTAGCATAATAGCTCCTGATATTTTGGGCATTTCTCCCAAGATAGAAGAGATTAAGCTCGACTTGCCTGAACCAACGGTACCGCAAACAGCAACCCTCATGCCACGAGACACCATGAGATTTATATCTTTGAGAGTTGAAGTAGGAGAAGACACATCCCAAGCAAAATTCCCATCAACTATCTCTATGGCTCTGTCAGATGTACCTCTCGGCAGCACCTGTATAACATCCGGCTGCAGGTCATGAAGACGGAGGAATGAAGCAATTCGGTCAAGGGAAACTTTGGTCTGAGCAATCATTGAAATTGTATCAGGAAGATTATAAATAGGCTCTTGAAGTATTCTAAATGTTGCAAGTGCAGACAATATCTTCCCTGATTCCAGTGGGATTCCCATAAGCATACAAGCACCAAACGTGGCCACAGACACAAATGTTGGGGCGACCCAAAAAACAAAAGAGGTCATGGCGGTAGTGTACACGTATCTTCTCAACCATCCTGCCTCCGTGTTCCTGAGCTCGACAATTTTTGACAAGAACTTCATCTCCCAACCCTGAAGCTTGAGAATCCTCATGTTCCTCAAAATTTCGGACGTGGACTTCATCCTTCGATCTTTAGATGCCATTAGTTCTTCCTGAAATTTCTCCTGCAACTTTCCCAAAGGAAAGTTTGCCGACATCACTAGCACAGTAGCAACAAATGTAGCAATTGAAGCAAGCCCAAGATTTTTGTATAAGATTGCCATTGCCAAAGCAACTTGTAAGAGCACCATCCAAGGATCATGCATATACCAACCGAAGTCACCAATTCTCTCCGCATCAACTGTCATGAAATTGATGATCTCCCCACTAGTGTGACTCTGCTTTGATTGACATGAAAGGGTCAAACCCTTATTGTAGATCATGGCAACCAATGCAGCCCTGGCTCTAAATCCAGCCTGTTGGGACTTAAAAAACCAGTGCCTCTGTGCAAGACACTCAACTAGCTTTGCAATGAAGAATGTAGAAACCAAAAGATAACCTTCGTTTTTGAATTCGCGACGACCATTAATGTATTGAACGAAAGTATCAATGAGGTAGGGGCCGACATAAGTAGCCAATGTGTAAGCAAGCGCAAGAAAAGCTGATAATAAAATTTCCTTCCATACCGTGAAAATCAAAGCCTTCACCAGCACAAATGTTGTCACTTTACTACTACTCTCGCAATCCGATTCTACCTTATTTCTCAAAATTGGAAAAGCCGACCTGACACTATCAATACTGGCAAGCTGAGGAACATCCTCGAGGTCCAACGTTTTTTTGGAGCCGGCAGCAATCAAATTACCCATCCAAGAGAAAGTAAGGACACAAAAGAAACTAGCACTGGAATAAGGGGTCACAGTTTCACCCCCGCCAGACTTATTGGACTCTATACCATTACTAGCACTACCATGCAAAAGGGCTTCTTGAAGAATGGCATTTCCACCTTCATTCTTACCTAAAAACCCCAAAAAACAGAAGAACAACCCAGAAATACTACAAACTATGTCAGACAACCAAAATTGGACTGGTAAAGCTCGGTGCTTTTTGTAATAAACAAAGTCCACAGCAAGGGAATAACAAGAGATAGAGAAGAAAAACCCCCACCAAACTCTTAAAGCAACTGGGAACTTTGATGCACCTGAATTAAAGAACTGGGTGTGCAAGAAAACAGAGAGAACTAACCAGGTAAGTGTTTTGATTACCAAATCTAGAAGGGTCACAACCTTTTCCTCAGACCAACCATTTCTATACCAATAGAAGTGGCTAAATAAGCATAGAACAAGATTAAAAAGTGACAGACCCAGACAAAAAAACATAGTTCGCTTGTGATACGAGAACCTAGTGATTCTAACACTCTGTTTTGGGCCCTCAATCTTATTAATCCGAGTTTTCTTGCAAACCCATGAGATAAATAGAATGAGCAACACAACTAGATGCACAGAACCAGAAAACCCACGTAAGAAAATGGGATTGAGGAGGAAATCAACTCCTACGACGTACCTCATTGAATATAAGTGGGAGAGGAACACAGACATACCCTTATTTGATTCTTCTTGAAGAACCAGCGTTGTTTGTGGAGCTTTTTGGTCTCTGTTAGTGGATGGGTGTGGGGATGTCAGGTTTCTGTTGTATTGGGTTTTAAAATATGAGAGTGATATTGTGTGGTGACGCGGTGTGATGCATGTATATATATACATGCAAGATGTGTTGTTATATGATTAGGAGAGAGGGAAGAGTAGTCTGTACTCCAACGAGGAGAGAGAGTCAAGGTGGGCTTCCTTGGGCATAGGATAACGTGGTGAGCAAGACTCGGTGGAAGGAGAGATCAACGACCGGGGAAGACAAGCGTTTTCCCAGGTTAGTGAGAGAAAGAGAGAGAGAGTGCTGAGAAGCAGTCGAGTGATAAAAAAATTCCAAAGAGGTGTAATCCTACACGTACATATTACAACTGAGTCCTCTTATTTTATAACTTTGTGATTATCAAAGCATCACAGCCATCAGATGAATATGGCTGATCTACGTTGAATCACCGATAGCGGTGACCGTTCGATAAGTCTATTTTGAGATCGTTGAATGAATTTATTAAAATCTATTATATTTATGATAAAGTTTCATTATACATGTTATTTAGTGATAATATATTCTTGACCAATGAAA